GGACCTTGTGGACCCCCGCTAGGATAACCCCCCGGACTTCCTGGTCCTCCAGGTCTTCCGCTCGGATACCCTCCTGGACCACTTGGGCCTCCTGGTCCTCCTGGTCCTCCTGGTCGTCCACTTGGATATCCTCCTGACCCACCTGGCCCTCCTGGTCCTCCCTGTCCTGGTCCTTGTTGTCCATTACCAGGATAACCTCCTGGACCTTCCATAAAACCTGGTCCCCCTGGTCTTCCGCTAGGATAGCCTTCATGACCTCCAGGTCCTTGTGGTCCGCCCCCAGGATAAGTACCAGGACCTCCTGGTCTATTTGGACCTCCTGATCCACCAGGTCCGCCGCCCGGAAAACCTGGTCCACTTGGTTTTCCGCCAGGATAACCTCCAGGTCCTCCTGGTCCTTGTGGTCCGCCCCCAGGATAACTACCAGGACCACCTGGACCTCCTGATCCACCAGGTCCGCCGCCTGGAAAACCTGGTCCACTTGGTTTTCCGCCAGGATATCCGCCAGGGCCTCCTGGACCACTTGGTTTCCCACTAGGATATCCTCCAGGTCCTCCGTTACCACCTGGGCCTCCAGGAGCACCTGGCGATGGATATCCTCCAGGAGCACCTGGCGATGGATATCCTCCAGGAGCACCTGGTGATGGATATCCACCTGGAGTTCCAGGAAAACCTGGACCTCCTGGCTTGCCACCGTGATCACCACCTGGTGTTAGCGGATTGTTAGGCCTAGGATAACTATAACCCTGTTCCGCCTGAAATACAAATAATTACACATTCTAATATTTTGAAAAAAAGAACATTTTTGAGGAAGATTTTATCAACGATGGAAACAATTTCGTTTCAAATTCATCATTTACTTGACATTTAAAAGAAAATTGCTATAGCTCGATGAATCATTAAGGTCCTAACACTTTAGTTTTCCGACTGAACCCACAACCTACGTGAATCACTTAACCACTTTAGAATATTACGTACGTTGACATTAGGCACTTATATATTCTTCGCGCTTTATGCATTTCTGTCTCGTGACAAGTATAGCCAGGAGAGTTGGCTACAACACGCGGTGGTTTCTATATTCTATACTTGGTGTAATCTATCGATATTACATCATCGTGAAAAAAGGAAGAAAACCGATCGAACTGTTGACGACTTTGTGTTACGAGAATGGCGCAATTGCTAATAAGAATTTCATGCTGGAAGATTAATTTTCATTTGGGTTACACGCTTGTCAAAAACTAATAACAGCTTCATTTAGCAAATGCATTTATAACGATATATTAAAACGATCAAATACTCACCGTGCAAGCGTGGAAGATAGCTAGCGAAGCTGAAACATGTAAACACAGGTATCATTACAACACATATACAGACTGACTCGATTCATTAATATTAAAGGAAACACATCGTTCTTATCAACATGACAAATTATTTGTTGTTCCCGAAATTAATAAATCATTTTGTACATTCTACGTAGATATAAGTAATTTAAATGCAAACAATCATTAATTATTTTAGAACACTTTCTTCCTCGCGTTCGTCTAAAATAACAATTCTAATCCTTTTTCAAATATAAACGTTAAACAAAATTGATTGCGAAAATAGGCGAAGAAAACTCTGTAAAACTTATGCGTATAGAGCCACGCGTACGCATTACACCGATTGAATGTAAATAAAAACGCATAAGTGTTTCTCTGTCTCTTTTCTCATCCTTTGTTTGGTTGATCCTCTCTAGAAATCATGCTAGTAACATGCCTAACATCTTTTATCCTCTTCTTCCTAACTCGTAAAATATCTTCTCTCTTTCTCTCTCTCTCTCTCTTTCTCTCCTTCTTTTTCTTTACATTCAACGTTGAACGAATGCATGAGAAAGCACGGATTCCTTGTCACGTCTTACCTTCTCTTTCTCCCTATTTATTTCCCTCTCTATCTTTCTCTTATTTCTGTCGGTGATAGTCGACAATGCTTCTTAATTAATTAGGCGGGAAGTTATGTCAGAGAGATATTTCAGGCCATTTCTCTCATGTGAGATTCGCACGTAACCCGGCACCGTCACCGCGACGAATTGCGTACGCTTGCTTTTATTACGCGACAATGATGAAAAAAAAAAATAAGATGTGTGTTTGAAGAAAAAGAGATGAAGAAGAAGAAGAAAAAAAAGAGAACTCACTAATATTTGTTTCGTCATATTGTTACGCTAGAGTCGACAACAACACTTTGGGGTTATTGTTCTAAATGATGAAAGAAATCTAGGGTCCTCCATCTTTACTTGACAGAAAATCACACGATCGTCTTAATCATCTTCAATCGATTTGTTCAATACTAACTTATATCCTTTTCTTATTAAAAAACAAACAAACAAACAGATCGTATATGATTAGATAATCTTAATGATCGTGATGATTTCATATATAGATCGTAAGATTTGTTTTAATTTACTTAAACAGTTCTCGTTAATAGATTAAAAAAGTAAAACAAAAGAAAAGGAAGGAATAAAATTATTGTTAGTAGTTGTACAATGTTTATTAAACGAATTGTTCGATAAGCAAGCCTCTTCGTGTATTTCTTGGTCAACGTAAAAAAAAGTCAATCTTTAACAGGGTGGAGAAACAATGGACGATGGAGATCGAGAAACGGTCGAGCTTCGCGTGATCTAAGAAGATCATCTGAACGCGATACGCCGAGGAAGTCTCGCTTGTGTTTCACGTTCGAGAGAATCTTCGAAAGATTCGTCGTTACATTTCTATTGCGCGACTAGGTGTTCCGAGCAATGACGTAATCTGACAACTACACAACACACAATACAAATAAAGAAATAGTTTAACACTATTGTGATACAACTTTCTCCAAAAAATAGATTTTCTTTTTTTGTATATTTTATCTAACAAAAAATGTAGGACGCCGTTAAATTTCTATTCAAAATTTATAATAATTTGTATATTTTATTAATTTCGTTTATAATTATATCATCAAAATATTTCATTTCTAACGTTTCAACTAAAACGCGACAACGTCACAGTTTTACATTTAAATTTATTTCTTTATTTTTCATTGTGTCAATTTTTAATAATTATATTAATATTTCAATACGTTTTGATAATTATCTTCCTGTCATATATTTTTTTTTTTTAATTATATAAATTAGAATTAATATAAAATTGTGATATAAAAAATTTACTATGACTTTCACGTTGCGTAATATTTTTGTAAATGCGAACAAAATTGTGGGGCGTGGAAAAACAAAAAGATAGAAAAAGAGAGAAAGGTCCAAATCATTCGTAATATTTAAAATGAAATCAGCCGGTTTTTGTTGTCTATGTAAACGCGTTGTAAAGCTTAATGATTTTTCATTATAAAAGAAATGTGGAGCATCCGTTTTCTATCCCATTTCATGTTCATTAGCATAAAGACGTGCACGTAGTCTGTACATATAACTCAAGGATTAATATCATTCGTCCCTTTTCATTCTCTTTCTTTCATTCTCTTTTCATTTTTAATGTTGGCGAAAAAAAGAAATAAAAATGAAAAAAGGGAAAGAGAAGGATGTCTGAAATTGCACCAACAGGCCGCATACACTTGACCTTTATTTTAAGTACGGATGATCTTAAGCGTAAAGAATGGCCCCATAAAAATGTAAAAGTCTGCTGGTGGAACAATACCAGCTGTTAGGCACGAGGACCATCTTATCTTTAATGTATTATAATTAGAGGAAGTTACGAAAAAGTGGACCTTGTTGTTTGTTGTTAGAAGATTCGAATGAAATTTCGAATTCTCTTTGATTAATTACTCTCTCTCTCTCTTTTTCTATTTCTTTTTATTTTTCTTTCTCTCTGTCTATCTTTTTAATCGTCCTTGAACATATACACATGAATTTCAACGTATTGCAAAAAAAAAAGTCTGACATTAAAATTATTTATAAAAATTATTGATTAATGTGTACACACACATGTGCATAAAAAATTATTTGTCTATCCTTCACCGACTTTTCTTCGATTAAAGTGAATTAATAAAAAATTATAAAGATAAAAATGATAATAACAAAATAATTTATCTATTATATCATTGTGTCTGTGCATTCGCATATGTTTTCTCTTTCAAATAAAATGTACATTTTAAGAAGTGCATGTAAGAATTCACCAAGATGGATATGAATCAAGGACTACGATACTACGACATTGTCGAAGAATGTTAATCTGATTGCAATTGAAGTACTAACGAGCGAGAAGATGGTAAGAAAATAAAAAAAAAAAAAAAAAAAAAAAAAAAGAGAAAAATGGATACAAATAATATTCTACGTCGAAAGACATACGTGATGTCCATAATCATTATAGAATTTCTTTGCTGTGGACATTGCAATGATTATACACTTAGGATTGTTTTATTCTATGCTTTCTTCGACGTCAAAAAGTAACCTACGATATGTGGATAGAAATTTAAAACAAAAAAAACCATGAATTTTTTGTCGAAAATAGCATGGAATAATTTGAGTTCGTTCTCTATGAATTTTTATCGTGAAAAAAAAAGAATTAAAATAATAATTTGGTAATTACCTATCAATAATAATCGCAGCCCCATGATTGGTGACGCTGCTCTTCTTAATTGTTAGCCTGTAAAATAGAATAAAAAAAAAAAAAAAACCCAAGGACAAAGTCCTTCGTTAGTTTGTTCTTCTTCGTTTCACTTCCGCGAATAATAGGGAATTCTACGAGTTTTCCAATTAATGGGGGAAACAAAAAAAATGGATGAAAATTGAAATGCGAAAGATAGTCGGAATTCTTTGAGATCACTTTTCTTAGAAATAAATCATAAAGAGAAATGCGGTCAGGGTGATAATTAAGAAAATAAGTAAGAAAAAAAGAACGGACCACTGTATATATATATATATATATATCGAACTAAATCTCGTGAAGAACCTTGACGCGTTAACACTGAAGCTACTAGTTCAGTTCACATGGGCACTTGAAATTGAACAAATTTGGTGATGTCAATGTCATTACGAAACAATAAGGGAGAACAAAGATAGAAAAAAACTCTCGATTTAATAAAGACAAATCTAACATTTACAATTATACTCGATGATTTATTTGAAACTTTTCAAGTATCCGCACTAAAACGCAATTCGTATTATCGATCGATCGAAAAGCAAATATGAGAAGAAAAAAAAAAAAAAAGAAAAAGAAAAAACAAGAAAATGAAGATGAAGATGAAAAAAAACAAGAACAAATTGTATAGGAAAAAGAGACACGAGGGAACAGGTAAAATAATAAAATGGATGAGGAGGAAGGTGAGGACTCACCTAACCGATCCGTCGAGTAAAATACACCGGGATGTAAGTCAGTAAGAATGACTGATGGTGGAGGTGTTTGAGCGATCATATATACTCTTACCGAACGCAACCCCCAACCAAGTAACTCTGGGTAAACTCCCCACCAACGATTATCCAGGGATGCTTCGTTTATTCTTTCGTCGATGTAGATACTTACTTAGAGAACAGTCCATGTTAAGTTTACTACCTCCTTCTCTTATTCCAGTTGTCCTTCTTTCCTTCTTTCTCTACTAACTAAGTAAATCCCTCTTTTGCTTTTTTTAGCAGCGCTTGGCCAACGAGGCTATAGGGACGCGATCTCGTTGGCGATGGAAGTGGAGGCGGTTGTTATAGTGGAAGGTGATGGTGGTGGTAGTGGTGATGGTGGAGGAGGTACCTGTGTTATCCGTAGAAACGACGAGGAACGACCTCACGACGACAACGACAAAGTAAGTGACCCACCAATGGTGCCCCAAAGCAAACCAAGCTAACTAAGGCCTTCTTCTCTGTTGGTACTTCAACCATCTACACAACCCATATCCTTCTATGTATATATCTTCTACTACTCTACTACTACAAATGAAATCTACTACCTATCTTTACTCATCTACCTGATCCTTCCCCCTTCACCGCAATTCCATGGATCTAACGGAGATGAGCAGCCTCGTGGGAGGCTGCGGGGTTAGTGAAAGTGAAATACTGCAATTGGAGTAACGTCTCATCCGATGCCTCCTCATCCTCCTGGTATTCCGTGTTCTTCCATCACGACGCGCGGATCGTTCCCGGCTATGGGGCTCGCGATACTTACAAACGATACGTACCTCGTTTTTTTTAAAAAAGATTCCATCGATTCGGATCATTTTGTATGATTATTTATCGCTTATTCTTCTAGTCTTCTTTTTTCCCCTCTTTAAATATGAGTTTTGCATTATTTTCATTTCTATATATATGTATATATTAATTCAATTCTTATAATTATATTTATTATTTAGTGCTGTTTATATATATGAATTTTTTCAATTTAC